TTTGGACATAAGCCCCTTATCAGATTTGCAAATCATGCTTGCTTTGATTTGAAAATATTTTCTCTCATTTTATAGGTTGTCTTTTCACTTTCTGTGTAATATCCTTTGAAACACAAAGGTTTTAAATTTTTATAAAGTCCAACCTACCTATTTTTATTTTGGTTGCTTACGCTTTTGGTGCTACATCTAAGAAAGCATTGCCTATTTCAGGTCACAAAGATTTACTCTGATGTTTTCTTCTATGAGTTTTATATTTTTAATTCAGACATTTAGGCCTTTGATCTATTCTGAGCTAATTTTTAAAAAATATTTTATTGATTTCAGAGGGAGAGGGAGAGAGAGAAACATCAATAATGAGAGAGAATCATTGATCCGCTGCCTCCTGCATACCCCATACTGAGGACTGAGCCCACAATCCAGGCATGTGACCTTGGCTGGAATCGAATCTGGGACCATTCAGTCCACAGGCTGAAGCTCCATCCACTGAGCCAAGCCAGCCAGGGCTATTCTGAGCTAATTTTTATCTGTAGAACAAGGGTAACTACTAATCTTGCCTGTCAAGTGTAGATAGGATATAGTCTTTCATATCAAACCAGAAATGAAGGACAGAAGAAGAAGTGAGATTTATGTTCTGGGAAGCACTTATTTGTGACCATAGCCTCAGGCATGCAGGAGTTATAGTGAATAACAGCAACCACACCAAAAGATGGTGAGGAGTAGGAGCCTTTTTTCTGCCATATTCTCCATCAGCTATTATACTCCCCTGTCTCACCAAGCAAAGACAATGTAAGCAAAACAAAAAAAAAAGTGTACTGGCTTGATTTGCTTTGGACAAGCTTCTAATTCTTTCTGTCCCCCCTTCCAACTAGATTGCCTCTTCTTAACCCCTCCAATGTAGAAATTCTAGAATATCTTTTGCTGAAAGCATTCAATGAGAGGAAACTGTTTTTTTCAGTTATCTTTATTGTTGAAAGTATTACAGATGTGCTCTTTTCCCCCCCTATTGACCCTGTCCACTCCACTCCCACTCCTATCCCAGGCTTTCACTGTACTATTGTCTGTCCAAGGATTATGCATATCCTATCTAAGAGTAATATGCAAATTGACCATCACTCCCAACACACAAGATGGCTGCCCCCGTGTGGTCAAAGATGACTGCCCCATGTGGATACAAGATAGCTGCCACAAGATGGCCAGCATGGGAGGGCAGTTGGAAAGGACCAGGCCTTCAAGGGAGGACAGTTGTGGGCAATCAGGCCAGCAGGGGAGGGCAGTTGGGGGCAATCAAGCCTGCAGTGGAGGGCAGTTAGTGGTGACCAGGCTGGCAGAGGAGGGAAGTTGGGGGCAACCAGACCTTCAGGGAAGGGCAGTTGGGAGGGACAAAGGCCTGCAGGGGGGAGCAGTTGGGAGGGACCAGGCCTACAGGGAAGGAGAGATAAAGATGACCAGACCTACAGGGGAGAACAGTTAAGGGTGACCAGGCTTGCAGGAGAGGGCAGTTAGGGCATACAGGCTGGCAGGGGAGCAGTTAGGCATCAATCAGGCTGGCAGGAGAGTGGTTAGGGAGTGATCAGGCAGGCAGACAGGCAGAAGCTGTTAGGGACAATCAGGAAGCCAGGCAGGGGAGCAGTTGGGAGTCAGCAGTCATGGATTGTGAGAAGGATGTCCGACTGCCTGTTTAGGACCAATCCTAAACAGGCAGTCGGACATCGGGCCTAAACAGGCAGTCGAACATCCCTCTCGGGGTCCCAGGTGGAGAGGGTCAGGCTGGGCTGAGGGACATACACACACACACACACACCCCTTCACAAATTTCATGCACTGGGCCTCTAGTCCTACATAATAAAAGGCTATTATGCAAATTGTCCCCACAGGCAGGAGTTCAACCAGGGAGTGGCACAGAACATGGCAGGCATCGGCGATGCGATGCTGGTAGTTGGCAGCAGTGGAGGCACTGCCAGCCCCAACGAGCCCCAAGGAGAATGAGACCACAGCAGGATGGTGGAGCAGGTGAGCAGATGGCACCAGGCCAAAGCAGATGGAAAAGGAGGCCTTGGCTGGAGGTCAGCAGCTGGCAGCCACTAAGGACCCTACTTGTGTACAGATTTTGTGCACTGGGCCTCTAGTATGCATATAAATTCTTTGGTTAAACTCTTCTTGGTCCGCCCCACCCCAGGAAGTTGTTTTTCTGGTGGTGAAATGTGTCACAGTTCTGAACTTTTTTTTTTTTTTAGCACATAAATTGAAGAATAACATAGATAATACACTATGGCCTACCAACCTGATCAGATGCATGTAAGGCATAGTTTCTGGTGCCCCAGGGTGCAGGAAACCATGAATTACAAAACATAAAGTAGAATTAACAAGATTGATGAGTGATGGGGTGTAAATAGATAAGAACTCTTGGTTTCAGGAATGGCCTCCTGGGTGAGTCCTGAAGTCAACTATGGGGATGGGGAGCATGGATAAAGAGCAGGTTTATTTTTGGGAAGGATGGGAGTAGAGGTAGATAATACTGAACATGTTGAGTTGAAGTGCAAGTGGGACACCCAAGTAACTGCATCTAGTTAATATGTAGTTAATGTGACTCTGGAAGTCAGAAGATCTGGAACGAAGATGTAAATTTAGGAACTCTCAGCGTATAGATGGAAAAAGATGAGCTCACCCGGCAAGCATGGGAAGGTTAACTAGGTTCCAGGCCTGGAAGGTGGAGGAAAGAACAGACATGAGTTCAACTCCCTGGCAGCAACCTTGCACTTAAGCAGGTATTTCACAGTCTTCCTTTGAAGCCACTGTGTATCAGCCCCAACACAGCTTCTAGTGCTTCCTCTTCTCTCCTACTTCCCCTTCTTGGAGTTGCCAGACTTTTCACTATTTGTTTACTCAGCTTACCAGACATCCTGCCTATCTCTAACTGTTCATTCATGCAGCCATTTACTAAGCAACTGTTCTGTGCCAGGCACTGTACTCAGTCCTGACCATCCAGCAGTGACCAAAACTAAGGCATTGCCTCAAAACATTTACATTCTAGTGAGGAGAAGACACTCGGAAATAATTACACATATTGGGGAGAGATAAATGCTTTGAAGAAAAGGCAAGCTGAGTAAGGGGATGTTGAATGATGCAGGTGTTCTTATTTTATATTTATTGATTTTTAGAGAGAGAAGGAAGAGGGGGAGAGAGAGAAAAACTGGAAATCTTTTGGTGCTCAGGAGGAAATCCAAGCAACTTAGCCACACCAGCCAGGGCAAGGTATTCTTATTTTAAGTATAGGACAGTAAGGAAAGTCATCTCTGACACTTGAGCAGAATTCTGAATGAATTATGAAAGCTCTGGGAAAAGAAGGGGTGTCTGAAACAGAATGGAAAGTACGGTAACCAGAAGCTAAATCACGTATGTCTTTATAAGACAAAGTAAGGAGTCTGGCTTTTACTCCGTGTGGCATGGATTCATTGGGGAGAGGAATATTGAGCAAGGAGGGACATGATTTAACTTAGATTTTAACAGCATCCCTCTGGCTGCTGTGCTGAGAATAAATTATTGGGGGCAAGGACAGAAGTTGAGGGGCATTTTAGGCCATTGCAATAATCCTAGCCAGAATAATGGTAGCATGTCACAGAGAAGTAGGGGTGGAGATGGTGAGAAGCAGTTAGATTAGGTGGGTGGTTCTAAGCAAAAGTCCATTGGAGGAGAGTGAAAATTCCGGGTAATGGGGGCTTTTCATTGGCTGAGTGTGGTGGTTTCTCATTGGTCTGGCTGTTGCTGGATTAGGAGAAAAACCTACCTTACACCTACTGGAGTAGCAAAATAAACTTCTTCATGACCAGATTTGTAAATTAGCTTCCAGAGAACTACATTTCAGGGCTTCCCCTCTCCACTTTGAATGAGGTTTTCCTTTATTCGTTTTCACACCTCAAATGGATTACAATAAAGGTTAGGTTTGGTGAGGAAATCGGGAATAAGGTTTTGGACACACAAAGTTGCCAATTAAGACATCCAACTGGGGTTGAGTCTTTTTTATATGAATCCTGAATTCACAGAATTGATCAAAGCTGCAAATACTCGATTTGCCCTAGCAGGTTTGGCTCAGTGGATAGAGCGTAGGCATGCGGACTGACAGGTCCCAGGTTTGATTCCAGTAAAGGGCATATGCCCATGTTGCGGCTTGATCCCAAGTAGTGGGTGTGTAGGAGGCAGCCGATCAATGATTCATTTTTCTCTCTCTCTCCTCCCTCCCTTTCTGAAATCAATAAAAAAAAATGTATATTAAAAAATACTCAATGGTTTTGAAAGCTAAGAGCCGGAATAGGACCATCTGAAAGTATGGACAGAATCCCAGCTCCATGCCAGGGTTGGGGGGTACGTCTTGGGGGTGAGGGAGCTCACTGAGCGGTGGATGCTGTCATGGGGCCATGAGACCTCTGTTAGGGACCCAGTTGCCTCCACCGGGAAAGGATTGGGTCTTAAACGAGATCGTCAGGAGTATGTATGGTGGCGGGTGGGCCACTTTCAGGCAGAGGGATCAGCCTTTGCAAAGACAAGATACAACGGGTATGGAAATAGTGAAGGCCACACCTTAGGTCAACAGGGCCGCGCGCACCCACGGTGTCTCGGCGCCAGCAAGCATTTCTCCTCGCCTCGCACTCCTCTCGGGCGGCCCAAACGGGATCCCACTGGACCAGGTCAAGAGGCGCTATCAGGACAACAGAATCCCCAGAGCACTGCGGAGCCTCACGCCGCCAGCCGAGTCTCGCGAGAGCCCGGCCTCACTGGCCCAGCATGCCCCGCGCAGCCGCCGCCACTGCCGCCGCCGCCGCCGCCGCGCCGCCGCGCCGCGGTTTGAGGGCGGAAGGCTGGGGGAGGGTAGCGGAGCCGGCGCCGCCGCCATGTTGGGTCTGAGGCAGCTGCTGTAGGCACCGGCGGAGCGAGCGGTAGTGCGGAGCGGCGACCGCGGCGTGGGATTTGCCTTTCTGCCAGCGGCCCAGAGCGGCGGCGGCGCCATGAGTGGGGGCACCCCTTACATCGGCAGCAAGATCAGCCTTATCTCCAAGGCGGAGATCCGCTACGAGGGCATCCTCTACACCATCGACACCGAGAACTCCACCGTAGCTCTCGCCAAAGGTACTCCGGGGTGGGGTGGCGGGCCTTGCGCCCAATCAGGGCCGCGCTCTGCTCTCGGTTTGCGGCCTCCTCGCTCCATCGCTGTCCCCTCCACCGTCCTCCGGGAGGCCGCCACCGGGCCCTGGCGTGGCGCGTCCGGCCGCGGCCTCCCCCAGGGCTCCCTGGCTCCACCGCCGAGGTCCGCGGCTTCCATCCGGGAACTACGCGACCCAGAGCGGGGCGGGCGGGCGGGCGGGCGGGCGGGCGGGCGAGCGGCCCTGAAGCCCCAGAACGGGCCGGAGAACGCGGAGAGGCAGGCGTGTCTTCCAACTCTGAAATTCGGCCGTCTGTCGTCTCACCGCGAAACAAAAGCCCTCGTAGTCAAATAATTTTTCCTCCTCGCTTGAATTTAGTGCTGATTTCTTAATTCTACAGCACCGTTTTCTCACGTTCTCAATTTCAGTGTGTTGCGATAGGCCTTGGGTGAACTGTAAGTCGTGTGCTGAAACTTTGGGTTCTGTGATGCAGACAGTCTCGAGCAGATCTCATCCCTCTCGTCTCCTGTGTATATTTACCTGTTAAACCGGAATCCTTCACTAAGCCTGTTGTGCAACCACCTCTTTAAAAGTGCTTGCTGCACTCGCATTGACCTTGTTTCCGAAAGCGTGTGGGGAGCAGGGTTCAAGCTGAACCCGGGACCCTTGTTCCAAAGGCGGCTGTGCGTAATCCGTGGGCGCGGACCAAGCCCTGGGAAGGCTCGCTGGGACCGGGAGTTTTGGGTGTTGAGAAGGTGTCCTATCTGTAGTACTTAGCAGAGCCACAGTGTCTGTGGGTTTTGTTTCCGTTTCACGCGCTCTGAGCCTTCTTTCCGCCTGGAAACCAGAAGAAAATAAACTTTTCAGCTCTTCATCGTACAAGAAATCTCACAAGTTTGGCATGCTTATGAGAGGGAAGCACCATTTTTCATAGCACATCTGGTAGACTTGTGGAATAAGAAGCTCGGTAGGGGAGGTCCGGGGATAGGAAGAAAATTTCTAAATCTGTTTTGAAAAATTTAATCTTTAACCGGTAGGAGAGTAACTTCATATTATCAAACAAATATTTAATGGCATTTTTGGATGCTCTGTTAGATCCCTTTTAATAGCACTGGTATTGGGGCAAATTTTATACCTGATAAGGAGTCTTATTTTGTTTTCTGTTCTTTTCATTTTTTATCCCCAGATGGTATTTAGCTGTATAATGTTTTAGTTTTAATGACTTTATGAAATTATGAAACAGGCTCTCTAATGTTCTTGATGCAAAAAGTAGTCCTTAATAAAGTGATTCAATAACTTTTTAAAAAACACTGTTTTATCTAATCTGGATTTTAAGGTGTCTTGTTAGTTTAGTGACTTACTCAGTTGACTGTGCCACCTTTAAAAATCTATACATTTTTAAGATTTCTAATATATTAACTCCAGTCTTTTAAAAATCTATGAATATACTCTTATATAGGAGAATCTAAAAAGTCTATATTTTGTTAATGGCCCACATTTTTTAATTGTCTTTTCAACAGCTTCTAGAGTCAATAAACATTTTATTAATCTGTAATAATTAAATTTATGTGCCAAATATAATTTGTTCCTTGCATCATGACTTAAGAAATGTGGTATAGTAAAATAAAAAGATTTTTAATCATTTAATTTATATGACTTTGATATTTAATCCTACATATATAATGTATGCTTTTAAAAAATCAATATGAGTAATATGTTTGGGAATTTAATTGTTTGCAAAAACTGGAATTATCAAATCTTGGTATACTGATTCAGCAGTATTTAATCTTAAATTGCTATATAACTTTCCAGCCAACACTGGACACTTATTTCAAGTTTCAAAATTCTAAGTGGGTGTTGTTTTTTTTTGTTTGTTTTTTTAAAATATATTTTATTGATTTTTTACAGAGAGGAAGGGAGAGAGATAGAGAGCTAGAAATGTTGATGAGAGAGAGTCATCGATCAGCTGCCTCTTGTGCACCCTGGATGTGCCCGCAACCAACGTACATGCCCTTGACCGGAATAGAACCTGGGTCCTTTCAGTCCACAGACCGATGCTCTGCCACTGAGCCAAACTGGTTTCGGCATAAGTGGGTGTTTGATTTTAAAATTATATAGGATTTATATTTCTTGTTGAGTAATTTAATATCTGAAATTCCACCTTTTGCAAAATTTGCCTGAAGAATGGCATTCTAACTTTAAAGTCCAACGTTTATTCGTAGAGTTTAGGAGACAGTATGCATTTGGAGTTAGAGATCCTGATTACTTTTTTTAAACTATAGATTGAGTTAATCTCTTTGAGTAACAGTCTTAAGATTTTCTTTAAGATGTTAATTTTGTTTTTATTCCCTCTGAGGAGAATATTTTCCTTTTTCTATTTGGAAATATAACCACACATGTTGAAATGATACATAAAAACAAGAAAAAAAAGAAAATATATATCTTACTGATTTCAGAGAGACAGAAACATCAATGATGAAAGAGAATCATTGACTGGCTGCCTCCTGCATGCTGCACACTGGGGATCGAGCCCATAATCTGGCATGTGCCCTGACCAAGATTCAAACTGTGATTTCCTGATTCATAGGTGGATGCTCAGCCACTGAGCCAAATAGGCTGGGCAGTTTTTGTGTTTGTTTTTTTGTTTTATTTTGTTTTAACTTCCTAAAAATTTCATTGAATCTTGACACAATGATCTAGCTTTGGGGTAACATAAAGATGCCAAACTTAAAAAATAAAATAAAAAAATGGGAGACATTTTCCAACAAGACAAATGTTCAGTTCTGAGCTTCCTGAAGCTCCCTATGCAGATATCATTCCAAGTGAAGAGTATGCATAATTCTGAGCATCGCTGTGGATCTACCTCTTTTCCTCCCATTCTCAAGGCAAAGGAAAGGTTCTCGCTCTGTCAGGCATTATTTAGCCAGTATGTGCCTCTTTATTCGAGGGCTCCCAGACTGCAGTCCAGCCACTTTGTTCCTTGGGTCACATGTAGTCCTGAAGCATGTACCATGAAATAGAAAGCCAAGTTTCAAGAATTAAAAATGGAGCTAGCCATAATCCTGAGTGCTGTGAGGAAGGCAACAGAGTGTTCAAACAAAAGATTAATAAAAACAATTGTTTACAGAGTTACTGGCAGGACTTGAAGATGAAATTAATATTCAAACATGAAAAGCAGTTCACCAGCACTCAGGAACTGGACTGCCTGCTTGAAGTAGGGGCTGACATAGAAATCCAATCTACTACTGAGGATCTATACATGGCAATTGGCAGCAAACATGATAGAACAAGAGGGCTTTGAAGGGGAGCTTGAGATTTGAGTCCTTTTTCAATGGCCGTGCGTATTCAGCCATCCAGAGCTTGAAGGTCCTGTCATATGAGAAGTGGCTATAAGCTGCCCATTAGGAGAAATTAGGCCCATCACTTTGCCTTCATGGCCAGCCAAAGTCTTCAGAGGGAACCAGCTTGGATGGGTCCAGATCTTGGGTGTGTTAATACATATAGGTACCAGTGAGCAAGAAATTCCTATGGATAGGCTCAAACTTGACACCAGTTACTATGTTTGTTTGTTTTACTATTTTTTTACAGAGAAGAAGGGAGAGGGACAGAGAGCCAGAAACACCAACCAGCTGCCTTCTGCACACCTCCCATAGGGGATGTGCCCACAACCAAGGTACATGCCCTTGACTGGAATCGAACCTGGGACCCTTCAGTCTGCAGGCCAACGTTCTATCCACTGAGCCAAACCAGTTGATGAGCTGGGGTTGTATAGGTGCAGGACCGCCGTCAAAGGTCCCATACTTTGCAGGTGTTGTCACCACTGCTAGTTGCAATGTGGTAACCATTCCATAGATTTTTTTCTAGAAATATGATACAACATTCTGTATGCAGGGGGGCAGTATTTTTAAACAGGGAACCTTGTAAATACCACCCAGGACAAAACAGACATTGCTGACATCTGAAAAGACTTCCACACCTTGCATCTTCCCATCATGACTACCACCCTCTTATACTAGATATAAATGTTATTCTGACATTTATAGTTTTATCTGAGAAGTTTACATCCCTAAATAATAGAGTTTAGTTTTGATCATTTTTTAACCTTACATACATGGAATCATATAAAAGGGTTGTAAAAGTAAGTTTAGAGTTGTTGATATGGAAAAATATATAATCCTATGCAATAAAAGCCTAAAATGCTAAGTGTCTGGTCATCCATTCAACCAATCAAAGTATAAAATGCTAACGGCCACTCAACTGCTCACTGTGACATGCCCTGACCACCAGGGGGCAGATGCTCTGACCAGTAGGTTAGCTTGCTGCTGGGGTCTGGCCAATCAGGAATGAGCAAGATGGGCCAGACAGGTCCTGGAGCCTTCCCCCATTCCTTCCCCAGCAGGCCAACCTCCCTCATCTCTCCCCAGCCCCAGTCATGCACCTGTGGGGTCCCTTGGCCTGGCCTGTGCCCTCTCGGGACCCCTTAGAAGATATCGGAGAGCCAGTTTCTGCCCAATCCCACAGGATTGGGGGATCCCACTGGTGCACAAATTCCTACACTAGGCCTCTAGTACAAGAATAAAAAATAAATACAGGAATAAACTTATGGCCTTAGCTGAATTGGCTCAGTGGGTAGTGTTGGCCTGTGGACTGAAGAATCCCAGATTCAATTCTGGTCAAGGGCACATGCCTGGAGTTTTGGGCTCGAGTCCCAGTAGTGGGTGTGCAGGAGGCATCTAATCAATGATTCTCTTTCATCATTGATGTCTTTCTGAAATCAATAAAAAAATATATGTATTTTTAAAGAATATACTTGGGCTTCACATGCTCACAACTATAAACCTACTTTTCCCACCCTTTTTCTCATTTTGGGTTTTGTTGTGACATAGTATCTACACTAATAAAAGAAAAGGATGCGAATTGACCGTACCTTCGTGACGCCAACCAACCAATCAGGTGTGATTATGCAAATTAACCCAACAAAGATGG